TCTAGTTTTTCAAATTTATTGTTTTAAACCCATTTCTAAAAAAAATTAAAATTGAAAAGTGTTTCTAAAATTTTAATTAATTAGGAAATGACATAGAAATTTATGAAAACCTTTTATTAATTAAGTTAATTAAGAAAATAGCATGAAAACATTTTCATACGAGTTTTGTTGATTAAAAGTGTAATACCCACTTTCTTATAAATGCAATTATACTCGTGTTTTATTAAGTGAAGTCAACAAGTCAAAGTTTCTTATTTTGATATTGGATAAAATTACCAAATTACCTTTCTTCACACTTAAAGGATAAGGAACCACTTTGGCTGTTGGAGAAAGATATCATTTCAAAGAAAAAAAAAAAACAAACGAGGGGATTGGCTAGAGAGATAGGGGGAGGAAAAACCTTGAAGCTTTGATCTCCATCTTCTTCAAGCTTAGATCTCAAAGCTATTGGAGTACTCAAGGTGAGTTTAAGCTCTAGATTTCACTCTTTTTTTTTAGTTTATCATTGGAGCCCTAAGATTTATGTTTGAAAATATTAGGAATTTTTTACAGTGAGTATTTGGGTGAGCTAAATAGCTAAGATTTGGATGTTTTAGGTAAGTGATTAACTCTTCTCTCCTTATTTTGCAAAACCCATAACTTATTATGGAATAATCTCCACTACTTTGAATACCCATTTTAGGGTTAGTATGAGTTAAAATATTTTGGACTATGATATGTTTTGGTTCTGAAATGCTAACACTACAAGAAAAATGCACATAGACAACACTAGAAAGACAACAGTTTTTAAGAAAAGTGTTGTCTTTTGTATAAAAGACAACAGTTTGGTCCAAAACCGTTGTTTTTTATGCAACACTTTTGTCAAAGACAACGGTTTTTACTTAACCGTTGTTATAAGTGTGTTGTCTTTGTGCATTTTGTGAAAAGACAACACCATAAAACCGTTGTCTATGTGCATTTAAAAAAAAAAAAAAAAAAAAAAAAGACAACGGTTTTTTTAACCGTTGTCATTAGTGTGTTGTCCTTAAGCGCACTGGAATACACAACACTAGAAAGACAACGGTTGTTTAAAATCGTTGTGTTTGTGCGCTCTTAAAAAAAAAAAAAAAAAAAAAAAAAAAAAAAAAAAAAAAGACAACGGTTTTATTTAACCATTGTCTTTGGTGTGTTGTCTTTATGCGCACTAGAATACACAATACTACAAAGACAACGGTTTTTTAAAACCGTTGTCTTTGCGCATTATTATTTTTTAAAAGACAACGGTTTTATTTAACTGTTGTCATTTATGTGTTGTCTTTAATAGCACTTGAATACACAACACTACAACGACAACGGTTTATACCGTTGTCGTTGCGCGTTCTTTATTTGTTTAACCGTTGTCTTTGATATGTTGTCTTTAAGTGTATTTGAATACACAACACTACAAAGACAACGGTTATAAAAAACTGTTGTCTTTGCGCATCATTATTTTATAAAAGACAACAGTTGTATAAAATAAAAACAAGGATGTTAACAACAAGCTAAGAGTCAAACCTATAACTTCCAACATAGCAAATAAGGTTCAACTAACTAAGCAACACAAACTCTTATGTGAAAAACAAGACAACAATTTTATAAAACAAGTTAAAGATGCCCCTAGTAAGAATAAAACCCAAGACTTCTAACATAACAAACTAAGCTAAACCCACCAAATCATACCAATACTTAGTTACTCAAGCGCAATCTAGGATATAACGAGTTTGGAATATAAGTTAAAGATGCCACCAAGAAAGATAGAACCTAAAACTTCTAACATAACGAACAAAGCTAAACCCACCAAGCCACACCAACTCTTATTTACTAAAGTGTTACACCTTATCTTTTACCTATAATTTGGACCTTCATTGTTTTTGTTACGAATGTAATTAAGTTTTTGTTTTTGTTACGATGTTTAGAAGATCTAGAACAAAAATAAAAATGTAATTAATTTTTTTTGTCCAAATATAATGCATAAAAATTTAACAAAGAATGAATACAATTCAAAAGTTAATTTAATAGTTCTATTTTCGTTCATATTTAAATATAAAATTATTCACCAAAATTTCAATGTCAATTCAGTAAAGTTTTATTTTCAATTCATTAAATTACAATTTCTAATTCATTAAATTACATGACATAGAACGACACTGTGCGGTGCGGTGTGGTGTTCAGAATGGTGCGGTATGGTGTGGAGGGGTTTAGGGCGGTATGATAGGGGCCAGGGTTGGTAATCGACCCTTCCGGCTAGTGCATTACTAACAAGGTTAGATATATGTTGGTAATCGACCCTTCCGGCATGCATGGGACACGTGGAGAATGGATATGAAAGAGTAGTTAATGTCGTATAGTTAGCTATATCTCATTTCTTTTGCCGCGACCTTTGTAATAAAGGGCAAATTATGCTGTACAATCGTGTGCACCATGCATGGTGCACAATGTTTTATGTTCATAATTACCGAACTATATATTCATAATTTTTGAAATTTATATTCATAATGATTGAACTCCATATTCACAATTACAGAACTCTATGTTCATAATTTTCGATGTTCATATTCCCAATTGTTGAACTCTGTATTCACAAATCACAAAACTATATGCTCATGATTTGAAAACTATATAGTTTAGAAATTATGAAAAACCAAAACAGAAATTATGAATCTGTACTACTGTATTTATACCCGGTACTAATGTTTTTCTTACCCTGTTCTATATCTATATCGTCTGGTTTATGATGGGTAATAAGGTGCAATTGTCCGGACGACATTCGTGCCGGCGCACACGAGCTCGGGCTTGAATCAAGCCTTTTTGATCTCATATATGTATATATATATATATATATATATATATATATATATATATATATATATATATATATATATATATATATATATATATATATATATATATATATATATATATATATATATATATATAGGGTTGCATTCAAAATTTCAAATACAAACCCCCTTAAAATACAATTCCCTCTTAAAAAACAAACTTGAGCTCGTGCACACATTAACATACTTACACGCACACAAGGAGCACTGTCAACAATTTATGGGATTAGCTCATGCACAAATTAACATACTTACAAGCACACAGCGCGTATGAGAAAAAAATCACAACCATCCATCAAAGCTCGTGCACACATTAACATACTTACATGCACACAGCGCATAGGAGGAAAAAATCACAACCGTCCATCAAAGCTCGTGCACACATTAACATACTTAAATGCACACAGTTTGTATTTTAAGGGGGTTTGTATTTTAAGGGGTGTTTGTATTTGAAAATAATCCTATATATATATATATATATATATATATATATATATATATATATATATATATATATATATATATATATATATATATATATATATATATATATATATATATATATATATAATCGCACTCAGGCGCGAAATAGGAATGAATTTTGTCCGTCCACGTGTTCAGATCTAATGGATGAGAAACACTGATTTTAAAAAAAAAACTCGGTGGCATTTTCGTAAATAATTGAACATTGAAGTGCAAGTAAAATGTATTACAAGTTCATGTAAAATGTATTATAGGTGCAAGTAAAAATTTACACTGAGCATCAATACTTAGTTGCACATATAGTTCTAAGTAGTTGCACGCATAGTTATAAGTAGTTGCACCTAGGTGTATAAATGTTTGCGAGTGGTTTTCAGGGGTATTACTACCCGCTGAACTCAGATCAATGAATGTTAACAAGGCAAAGTACATGCACTTATAGGTGAAAGTAGGTGCACCATAGTTATAAGTAGTTGCACCTATAGTTATAAATAGTTGCACCTATAGTTATAAGCACACCCAAGTGCATAAATATTTGCGGAAAGTGAATGCTAACAAGGCAAAATTACATGCACTTATAGGTGAAACTAGGTGCACTTGTAAGTGATTTTACTTGCACATCGATGTTCAATTATTTACGAAAATGCCACCGTATTTTTTTTAAGTTATTAGATCTGGACACGTGTCGCACGCTGATTCGTTCGCATATTCCTTCCTGGGAACTTATTCGCACCTGAGTGCATCCATATATATATATATATATATATATATATATATATATATATATATATATATATATATATATATATATATATATATATATATATATATATATATATATATATATATATATATATATATATATATATATATATATATATATATATATATATATATATATACTATTTTGGAAATATGAACTTTGTTATGTGATTTTAAGGAAATAATTTTTGCTACAATGGGCTATTTGATTATAAGAATTATTTTGAACGTTTGGCCAAACTCATGAAGCAACCTACATTTTGTTGTTGGTTATGTTCGGCTTGGAACGTTCCTAATTGCTCATTCCGAATCGTCGAGCTTGACCCATTCCAAATCGTCGAGTCTTTTGAATTCTTTGTTGGAACGTTCCGATCCATTCGGCTCATACTGAATCGTCGAGCCTGACTCATTTCGAATCGTCGAATCTTTTTGGACCATTATGCCAATAATGGTGGTTGTAGGTTGTCAATGAGTCATATGTTGGGGAATGATTTGTGCTTTTGAAAGTGTTGTATTATGAAATATTCTTGATGCCCATGTAGCTAAAGTTTCTTGTTTTGTGAACTTGTGTATAGTACGATGGAAGTATGTTATGACTCCGATATAGTTTAAAGATCGAGTTTTGCATCTAGTTATTACTCTAACGCTTTTTGTTTTATATTGGGGTTATTTGATCCAGGGTTGAGAGGAGTACCATTTACTGGGTTTCCTCATATTCCAGAGTAGTTAAGGACATGTGAAACTAGGAGCCTTAGTCCTACTATTGGAGCTTATCACAGATTTTTGTTTCTTTTGGATATTCCCGTTCACCCTTTGTATTTTGGTAAACCATTGTGCTTGGATTTGGTGCTTGTAATGCATTTTGTCATGCTAGTCTTGATTGTAAATATTTAATAGGGGTGATTTGGTGAGTTTTTAGGGAAGAACTAGTTGTTTATATTTTCCATAAAAGTGAGGAATTAGTATGTATTCAAGTGTTCTTATGAAGGTTCCGAGAGGTATGTATGGCTAGGCTTCGTATTGTTACAGGTTTTCATGTAGCGATATGACCGAGGCATGCCCTAGAAGTGGGGCGTGACAGAGTTGGTATCAGAGCCTACGTTTAAATCTTTAGTTGGTCAAGAACTTAAGTTTGAATTTTTGCAAGATTAGGCTTTAACCTAGTGGCTGATAAGTTTAGGCTTTGAGCAAGTTTTGGATGTGGATCCCTAAACATTTTTTCAAATTTTGTCATACTTTCTCTCTGTTGTGAATTTAGGGATTGTTGTTTTACTATGATTAGGAGGGGTGTTCGTACACGTGGTCGAACTCATCGAGGTAGGCCGTCGACAAATGTGTTGCCTATTCGGAACATACCTGTGGATGTAGGGCCATCAAGGAGTCCCCCAGTTCTTGGAGTGAATCCTGGAGCTACTGCCCCTCTTAGTACAACACCTACGGCTCCCCCAACTACCTTGCCAAATACACCACCATTAGCAACACAAGCAGATATCATTGGGATCAGTATAATTGTAGCTAATATAATTCGACAACATCAAGGACAACAAGATGTCACTACCCAGTCTTCATATTTCTAAAGGTTTAGGCAAGTGAACCCCCCTACCTTTAGTGGTGGCCCATATCCCACATCAGCAAAGAGATGGATTAAGGAATTGGAAAAATTATTTGATGCAATGCAATACCCTAACGACGTCAAGGTAGTAGTAGATATCCCTTTATTGCAAGGGAATGTTGAGCATTGGTGGGAGGTAGAAAGGGATGCCCACCCTGATGGTGTTAATTGGCAAGATTTCAAAAAGGATTTTCTTTGACAATTTCTTCCCTGACAGTTTGAAGACAATCAAGGAAAATGAGTTTCTAGATTTAAAGTAAGGAAGTATCACTGTGTTGGAGTATGCTCACAAGTTTCATGAGTTGGCTAATGTGGTTGCAGGTATTATTCCCCTAAACACTGTGGATGCTTATGTGTTGTGTGATTCTGGTTCTTCGCATTGTTTTATTTCTGAGAAGTTTGCAAAGAGCTTAAATTTGCAAGCTAAGAAGTTGAGTGAACCTTTATATGTTAATACCCCGATGGGGAAGATTGTGGTGACAGACACTTGGTTTCAAGATTGTCATCTACAACTTAATGGGAGCGAGGTGTCAATTGATTTAATTCGACTAGATATGCAGGATTTTGATGTGATATTAGGAATGATTGGCTATCCAAAAACTATGCCTGGCCTTCATTGATTGTGCTCGTAGGAAGGTGGTATTTCAAATTCCTGGGCAACCTATTTTTACTTAGGAACACTTTCCTAGGAGTGGGATGTTGGTTTCGAGGGTGCCACTAAAAGTAATTCCAGCATTGAAGGCTAAGAAATAATTGAGAAAAGGCTATATCGGTTTTTTGGCTTATATAATGGATACCCACCATAAAGAAGTTAAGTTAGATGATATCCCAGTTGTTAAGGAATTTCCGGATGTGTTCCCAGAGCATTTACCTAGATTACCTCTAGATACAGAAATTGAGTTTGAAATAGAGGTTGTTCACGGAACCACTCCAATAACAAAGGCCCCTTACCACATGGAACTATCTGAGCTACGTGAGTTAAAGGTGCAATTGCAAGAGTTGCTTGATATGGGATTTATTAGACCTAGTGTATCCCCTTGGGGTTCACCACTGTTATTTGTGAAGAAAAAAGATGGTAGCTTGCGATTGTGTATTGACTATCAGGAATTGAATAAAGTTACTATGAAGAACAAGTATCCTCTACCTCGCATAGATGATTTATTTGACCAGTTTCAAGGTGCTAAATACTTCTCAAAAATTGATTTGAGATCAGGGTACCATCAATTGAAGGTTAAAGCTAGTGATGTACCCAAGACTGCTTTTAGGACCTGGTATGGCCATTATGAATTTTTTGTGATGTCGTTCGGTTTAACTAATGCTCTTGCTTTCTTTATGGATTTAATGAATAGGCTCCTCAAGCCATTTCTGGACAAATTTGTTGTGGTATTATTGATGACATTTGGTATATTCAAAGAGTAAGGAAGAGCATGCTCAACATCTGAGAATCATCTTGCATACCTTGAAGGAAAATGAATTGCATGCCAAAGTAAGTAAATGTGAATTTTGTCTTAAGGAGGTATCTTTTCTTGGTCATGTGATTTCTATGAACTCGGGTAAAGTTGAAGCGATAACGCAATGGCCGAGACCCACTAATGTCACAGAAATAAGGAGTTTTTTGGGTTTAGCAGGTTAATTCAGGAGATTTGTGAAAGACTTCTCATTAATAGCTATTTTATTGACTCGGTTAACTCAGCAGGGTATTAAGTTTGATTGGGATGAGGAGTGTGAGAAGAGCTTTCAGGAATTAAAGGAAAGATTGGTTAGTGCACCTATCTTAACCCTACCATCTGGGGAAGGAGGATTTGTAATTTATTATGATGCATCAAGAAGAGGATTAGGATGTGCGTTGATGCAAAATGATAAGGTGGTAGCCTATGCCTCCCGACAATTGAAGCCCCATGAAGTTAATTACCCCACTCAGGACTTAGAACTAGCAATTGTGGTATTTGCTTTAAAAATTTGGAGGCACTACCTATATGGAGAATCTTGTCAAATATTCACGGCGGACCACAAGAGTTTGAAGTTCCTCTTTACCTAAAAGGAATTAAACATGAGAAAACGGCGATGGTTGGAGCTAATCAAAGATTACGATATCTCTATTAACTATCATCTAGGTAAGGCTAACGTGGTAGATGACGCTTTAAGTCGTAAGTCCTCCACGGTTAATGTGACAATGGTAACCGCTCAAACCCAATTGTTGAAAGACTTGCAAGATTTGGAAGTTGAGGTTATTTCGCAAGATAAGCAAGGAGGAATTTTGGCAACTATGACTGCAAAACCGGTATTATTAAATCGCATCAAAGCGGCCCAAGTTCTAGATCCTAAGCTCATTAAGATTCGGGAAATAGTTCAAGCGGGTGACCTAAGAGAGTTTGGTATTCACGATGAGGGATCCCTATATTTCAAGTCCCGACTATGCATTCCAAATGATGTTGAGATAAGGAAGGATATTTTAAAGGAGGCTCATCAGTCCCACTTCTCAATACATTTAGGTGCTACCAAAATGTATAGAGATATGAAAAATAATTTCTGGTGGAGTGGTATGAAGCGGGATATTGCTGACTTTGTGGCTAGATTCATGGTATGTCAACAAGTCAAAGCTGAACACCAAAGACCTGCATGATTATTCAAACCCCTAGAGATACTCAGTGGAAGTTGGAACATATATCTATGGATTTTGTGAGTGGATTACCGAACAGTCAGCATGGGAAAAATACCATTTGGGTTATTGTGGATCGACTTACTAAGGTTGCACATTTTTTACCTATTAAGAAGACAACTGCATTGAATGACCTAGCTGAGTTGTATGTGAATGAAATTGTAAGGCTACATGGTGTACCTGTTAGTATAGTATCTGACCGGGACTCTAGATTTGTGTCAAAGTTTTGGTGAAGATTACAAGGAGTCATGGGGACTGAATTAAGATTAAGCACTGCATTTTATCCACAAACAGAGGGGCAAACTGAGAGGACAATTCAGACCATGGAGGATATGTTTCGAGCTTGTGTTTTGGATTTCAAGGGTAGTTGGAGTAAATACTTAACTTTGATTGAGTTTGCATATAACAATAGCTACCAATCAAGTATAGGAATTGCACCATTTGAAGCTTTATATGGAAGGAAGTGTAGATCTCCTTTATATTGGGATGAAGTTGGAGAAAGAAAGATCTTAGGACTAGAACTTGTACAACTCATAGTTGAGAAGATTAAATTAATTAAGAAAAGAATTGAAGCCTCTCAAGACAGGCAAAAGAGCTGGGTTGTCTTGAAAAAAAGAGAATTGGAATTCAAAGTTAGGGATTTGGTGTATTTAAAGGTTTCACCAACTCGAGGAGTAATATGGTTTGGAGAGAAAGCGAAATTAAGTCCACATTACATTAGACCGTTTGAGATTCTGAGTAGAGTTGGTAGTTTGGCTTATGAGCTAGAACTACCACCACAATTAGCTGGAGTTCACAATGTATTCCAAGTATCAATGCTACGGAGGTACATTGCAGATCTGAGTCATGTGGTGGAGTATCAACCACTTCAAGTTAGGGATGACTTAACTTATGAAGAAGTACCTCTTCGCATCATTCATCGAAAGGAACAAGTGTCGAGGTCCCAAGTAATCCCATTTGTTAAAGTGCAATGGTCACATCATACCCCAAGAGAAACAACATGGGAAAAGGAAGATGATATGAAGGATAGATATCCTGAACTCTTCAAGTTTGAAGGTAAGTAAGTTTCGAGGACGAAACTTAATTTAAGGTGGGGAGATTGTAATACCCACTTTCTTATAAATGCAATTATACTTATGTTTTATTAAGTGTCAAAGCTTCTTATTTTGATATTGGATAAAATTACCAAATTAACCTTCTTCACACTTAAAGGATAAGGAACGGCAATTTATATCCTACACCAGGGTGCACATTGCATTGTGCGCCCTGATGCAAAACGACGTCGTTTCAGTTTTTTTTTTTTTTTTTTTTTTTTTTTTCTGAAATTTCGCTACCCTGTGTTCGCGGTTAATTTTCTGTAAAAAAAAATCTTATGTTCAAAAATGTACATAATTTTATACTAGAATACACATAATTGTATAAATGAATGTACATAATTGTATAACAAAATACACATACTTTTTTAAAAAAGATAATACATATAATCTAACATAATACATAATATACATAAACTTTTAACATAATAATAAACATCAACTCTTAACATAATACACAAAAATTTCCTGTTTCGGATGTACATAATTGTATAAAAAAGATGTACATGATTGTAAAAAAAATGTACATAATTGTATAAACAAATACACAGAATTGTATAAACAAATACACACAATTTATAAACAAATACACATAATCGCGTCAATTTCCTACATAACTTACCAAAACGACATCGTTTTGGGAGGCGCGAGACGCACAGTGCTACGCGTGCCGTGGTGCAGGGTATAACGATTGATAAGGAACCACGTTGGCTTTTGGAGAAAGATATCATTTCAAAGGACAAAAAAAAAAACGAGAGGATTGGCTAGAGAGATAGGGGAAGGAAAAACCTTGAAGCTTTGATCTCCATCTTCTTCAAGCTTAGATCTCAAAGTTATTGGAGTATTTTAGGTGAGTATAACCTCTATATTTCACTGTTTTTTAGTTGAGTTTATTATTGGAGCCCTAAGATTTATGTTTGAAAATATTAGGGATTTTTGACAAGGAGGATTTGGGTGAGCTAAATAGCTAAAATTTGGATGTTTTAGGTAAGTGATTAACTCTTCTCTCCTTATTTTACAAAACCCATAACTTATTATGGAATAATCTCCACTACTTTGAATACCCATTTTAGGGTTAGTATGAGTTAAAATATTTTCGACTATGATATGTTTTGGGTCTGAAATGCTAAGCTGAAGTCTGGACTGAAATTGTGTTTAGGTTTGTTGGAACTGTACATGTTTTCGGAATGGTTGTTAAGCTAAATTTTTGACTAAAATTCTCACTATGTGTAGAGACGATAGAATGGTTTGTGGCTACTGTACAGGTGGTAGGCCGTGGTTTCGATGTTATGCTAACATACTGTGTGTTTGTTTCATTTTCCCGTTAGGGTCCGTTTGGAAAGCAGGAAAATGACTTCTGGAAAATGGAAGAAAATGAGTCATTTTCCGAAAAACATTTTCCTTTTCCAGTGTTTGGTTGCATTTGGAAAACTGTTTTGGTGTGTTTGGTTCATTTTCTGGAAAATGAGTAGAATGGTATAATTAAATATTTTAATCCGCCCAAATTTGGCGGAAGTCATTTTCCGCCAAATTGAGCTTATTTTCCCCAGTCGACGGAAAATGTTTTCCGTTGACTGGATTTTCCAGGTGTAGCCAAACACCAAAAACTCGGAAAATGATTTCCAGAAATCATTTTCCGGGTTTCCAAACACAGCCTTAAGCTACTCCAACCCCTTAGAAATTATTTTGGAAAAGATTTATGTACTAAGAAAATTATTAATTTGGGAAGGGTTTATACATTGCATATTTTTTAGTTTGATAAACCTATGATCTATAATTGGAAATATTATGTATCTTGAGGAAAATATGTGACTTGAAAAACTCGGTGCAATAAGTTATGTATTTTTATGCTATTTTGAGAGAATAGTTTGTAATTTGAAAAACTTATGTATTGAGAGTATCATTATAAATTATTGTAAGTTCGGTACAACTCAATTTTAAGAAAGTAAGGGCTTGGGACCCTATTTGGTTAAAATTATATATATATATATATATATATATATATATATATATATATATATATATATATATATATACTATTTTGGAAATATGAACTTTGTTATGTGATTTTAAAGAAATGATTTTTGCTACAATGGACTCTTTGAGAATTTTTTTTAATGTTTGGCTAAACTCATGAGGCAACCTACATTTTGTCGTTGGTTATGTTCGGCTTGGAACGTTTCTAATTGCTCATTCTGAATCGTCGAGCTTGACTCATTCTGAATCGTCGAATCTTTTGAATTCTTTGTTGGAACATTCTATCCGGCTCATTCTGAATCGTCGAGCCTGACTCATTCCGAGTCGTCATGTCTTTTTGGACCATTATGCCGATAATGGTGGTTGTAGGTTTCCAATGAGTCATATGTTAAGGAATGATTTGTGCTTTTAAAAGTGTTGTATTATGAAATATTGTTGATTCCCATGTAGCTAAAGTTTCTTGTTTTGTGAACTTGTGTATAGTATGATGGAAGTATATTATAACTTCGATATAGTTTAAAGATCGAGTTTTGCATCTAGTTATTACTCTAAAGCTTCTTGTTTTATATTGGGGTTACTTGATTCGGGGTTGAGAGGAGTACCACTCACTGGGCATTAGCTCATTATTTGTATTTTCATCATGTTTTAGAGTAGTTAAGGACATGTGAATACCACGACCACAAGTGGTGGGGTCTCGAAGGCGACTTTTGAAACTAGGAGACCTAGTCCTATTATTGGAGCTTATCACAGATTTTTGTTTGTTTTGGATATTCCCGTTCGCCCTTTGTATTTTGGTAAACCATTGTGCTTGGTTTTGGTGCTTGTTGCGTTTTTTCATGCTAGTCTTGATTGTAAATAATTAATAGTGGTGATTTGGTGAGTTTTTTGGAAGAACTAGTTGTTTATATTTGCCATAAAAGTGAGGAATTATTATGTATTCAAGTGTTGTTATGAAGGTTACGAGAGGTATGTATGGCTAGGCTTCGTATTGTTACAGGTTTTCATGTAGCGATATGGTCGGGTCATGTCCTAGAAGTGGGGCGTGACAAAAAGTGTTCAAAATATATAAGTAAACACTAATCTTCTGAAGTTTCAGTGTATCGTAAGTATCAAATACAATCATATATATAAAGGACAATTTTTCCTTTTTTTTTTTTTTTTTTTTTTTTTTTTTTTTTTGTTTACAAGGTACTATTAACAATATTCGACACAATTAGATATATGAGTGCACCTAAAATTCTAAGTACCAATGCTAATTTGACAAAGAAAACTTTAAATAATTAATCTATAAATATATTTATATAAAGCCAAACAAATGTATCACTACGATCATTCGTTGTTTGTCCTTCTAGAGAGAAAGAGAAAGCGAAGGGAGAGGGGGGAAGGGGGATAATTAGTCTATAAATATGTTTATATTAACCCTAACAAACCTATGTTTTCAATATTTCATTGTTTGTCATTCTATATATAGAGAGAGTTGGGGGAGGGGGGTGGCCTGGTGGGGTTCAGAGAGGAGAGAGCTCTCTAGCTCTCTCCTCTCTATCTAGAGGCAAATTTTTTATTATTTTTTTTGAAATTTCTTGACTTCTCTTAATGCGTTCTTTGCTACCAATACGTCATTGTGGAGGTGTTTTTTTTTTTTTTTTTTGTTTTTTTTTTTTTTGTTCTCCTAGTGGAGAAATGGAATGTTGCCTTTTTTTGTCCGAAGGTAGTTTTGTGGTGATGGTAATGGTGGTCTGGGAGTTGTTGATGGAGAAATATTAGGTGGAAGATCTAAAGAGTAATGGTATTTTGAAAGTTGGACAATGCTTTGTTGGGGATGATCTACAAGTTCTTGTATATGGTTAACGGATTTCAAAAGTGAATTAGGGAATTGTGGAGGAGTTTTATGCTAATAGGGGCTAACACTAAAAACTTTAGAGAGAGAGTTAGTTCTTTCCCCTCTCTATAGAGGCTCATGTGTCGTCTGCTATCAAGAGGATTTGGGTGGGTGGATGGGGGTTAACTCTTTCTTATCTTTCTTTTTTTTTTCAGTGTCGTTCCATTAAAAATAGAAGTCATGTCTAATAGTTTAATATGGACCTTCATCTTCTTTCTTTTTTTTTTTTTTTTGTTTTGAGATGCAATTTAAATATAATAGAGTAAACTGCAAAGACAAAAACAATAATATTGAGACAAGAACATAGGGGGGGGGAGGGGGGGGAGACAATTTTTAAATATTTAAATTTCGCTATAACGATAGAAATTTCTATTTATAAAGGTAATAAACATGATCTCAAAAGACCTTAAAAGATAGAGATAGAAGTCTAGAAGATATAGAAAATCTCCTGAGATAATTGAGTTCAAATCTATTTGGACTACAAGTTATTATATTCTATAACAAAAATAAAAATGCAATTAAATTTTTTTGTCCAAATATATTGCATAAAAAATTAACAAAGAAATAATAAAATTCAAAAGTTAATATAAAAATGCAATTTTTTGTTCATATTTAAATAGAAAATTATTCCCCAAAATTTTGATTTCATATTTAAATACAAAATCTTTCACTAAATTTCAATGTCAATTGCTTCTAATATTTTATTTCCATTTAAAATTAAGACCAATCTATAAGTTAAAAAAATAATAATTATTTAGTATAAAAAATAATAGATTATATCTAAAGTATTTTTAAAAAAAAAATAAATTGAGCCCCAAAAATTGGGGGCCTTGTGCGGTCGCACCGGCAAAACATGGCCGGGACCGGCCTTGTTTTTTCCCCTCCTAGTGGAGAAGGGGAATGTTGTCTTTGCTACCAATACGCCAGTGTGGAGGTGCTTTTATTTTTATTTTTTTATTTTTTATTTTTGTTCTCCTTGTGGAGAAATGTAATGTTGCCATTTTTGTCCGAAGGTAGTTTTGTGGTGATAGAGAAATATTAAGTGGAAGATCTAAAGAATAATGGTATTTTGAAAGTTGGACAATTCTTTGTTGGCGATGGATCTATAAATTCTTGGATGTGGTTCAGGGATTTCAAAAGTGAATTAGGAAATTGTGGAGGAGTTTTATGCTAACAGGGGCTGACTCCAGAAACAATGGAGATGACTAAAAACTTTAGAGAGAGAGAGAGAGAGAGAGAGAGAGAGTTAGTTCTTTCCGCTCTATATAGGCTTTTTTTCTTGAAATTTTTTGGCTTCTATTTGTGTGTCGTCTCCTATCAAGAGGATTTGGGTGGGTGGATTGGGGAGGGGGAGGGGGTGCATAACTCTTTCTTATCTTTTTTTTTTTTTCCCTCCTAGTGGAGAAGGGGAATATTGTCTTTTTGGTCCGGACGTAGTTTGTGGCAATGCTAATGGTGAGAGTTGGTGATGGATGAGTGTTAGGCGGGAGATCTAAGTGGTAATGGTGCTTTGAAGGATCGATAAGGCTTTGCTTCCGATAGATCTACAAGAATTTTTGTATGTAGTACAGTGTAGTTAAAGGTCAGTTTTCAAAAGTAATTTTAGAGAGTTTTGGATGAGTTTTACACCAATAGTGGCCGACACATGAGGGCTTTGGGGAGAGCATAAGTTCTTTCTTATCTTTTTTTTTTTCCTCCTACTCGAGAAAGGGAATATTGCCTTTTTGGTCCGAAAGTAGTTATGTGGCAATGGAATGGTGAGAGTTGGACAAGGCCTTATTGGTGATGCAATGTATTAGGTGGGAAATCTAAGGAGTAATGGTGTTTTGAAGGTTGGACAAGGCCTTATGGGTGATGGATCTACGAATTTTTATATGTGATTAAGGGGTTTTAAAAGTGAACTTAGGGAGTAATGGAGGACTTTTACAACAATAGTGGTTGACACTTGACACATGAAACAATGATGATGACTATAAACTTTAGAGACTAAGCTAGTCTCACCCCCTCACCCGTGCGGGTACCAAGAAAGCTTTGGGGAAGGCAGCAACTCGTTCTTATAAAGTAGTTTTGTGGTATTGGTAATGTTGGGAGTTGGTGATAGGTGAGTATTAGGTGGGAGATCTAAGGAGTAATGATGTGATAAAGGTTGGACAAGGCTTTGCTGGTGATGAATCTACAAGTTTTTGTTTGTGATTAAAGGGTTTCAAAAGTAAATTTAGGTGGTTATGGAGGAGTTTTACACCAAATAGTGGTTGACACATGAAACAATGGTGACTACAAACTTTAGAAGTTCGTTGAAGTAACTGCGGCAGCCAAACAAAGGTGTTACATATGCTTAAGCAAGAACCTAGGGTTTGCGAATAAGTGGGTCTAGTTTTCTATTTTAGTATAATTTTATTTTGTATTTTTGGTTTTTTTTTTCTTTTTATGAATTTTAAAGTTGTTGGACATTTTTCTATCATTTTAATTGTGTTGTGCTTTTAATTATGTATGAAACATTATTGTTAATGCATCCTTTTATAGTAAACAAATCTATTATTTGCAATGTATGCTTTCACAATTAACAAATCTATTATATGCTTAACTCAAATGACAAATGAATTGCTAATATAATTACTAAATTAGAAGCTTGACCTGACTCAATATGTATCCTAATCCTAATTCTAAAATGGCTCTATGGTCAAGTCCTATCCCAATTCTGAAATGACTCTATGGTCAAGTCCAATCCCAATTCTAAAATGGCTCTATGGTCAAGTCCTAAATGCATTAGGGCCCATAATCTCACCTATAGGCCAACGATGGATCATTTCATAATAAACCATTCTTCTACCATTTGCATTCCTTCAATGGATTATTTCATAGTAAACCTTTCTTCTTCCTTTTGCATCCCTTTCTTAGTTTCTCCCCTTTTAATCTTGTCTATCTTAATTTCATTTTCTTTATACTTTATGAAGCTCAAACTTTAAAATTTTGAAAATCATAAGCATACCACACCATTGGATAGAGAAGAAATAAAGACAACAATTTTGCCTCTTAAAACCCGAATTCATAATGCCAATATTTCAAGTTCGAAATTTACATCAGACCCAAGTATGAGCAATATTAAAGAAATAATTTGCATGGTGGTCATCAGCATTTCTCTTTTTCCTTCCAAAAATGTGTTGAAAGCTTCAAGCTTCTCTGACTTAATTCCATTCAGGTGCATAATTGTGGGTTTAACGCTAGGTAACAAAGCTTGAGATACAAGAATCGGTAATGGAAAATGAAATGCCAAAACATTATTTAGCATTAAAAGCTAACATGTGGTCAAAGTATCAGGTCTGGTAACTGTCACTGGACTATACAAAACATCATAACGAAATCATAAAATACAAATGAGTGAAAGAACAAACCTGAACAACCTGTCACACAAGAGTTGACTCAGTGATGGACTCACCAAGCAGCACCAAACAGCCACCTTCCAGCAGCCAATTTCCAGCAAGCTAAACAACCAAAAAATCATCATTACCCCCCTTTGACTCCAAAACATCATTTTTCACCTAAACAACCAAAAAATCACTTCAAAATCCATAATCCCCCAAAAATCAAATCTCAATCAAGGAATAAATTAACATGAAGGATAATTATATAAATAAAGTGAGGAAAATGCATATTTAGTTGTAAATTTTACACAATGATTCAAGAAGAGAATGCAAACTCCACGCATGATGTCGAGCTGCTTGAGAGTGCGAAAATAATGAAGAAAAAGAAGTACCATGATATGCCTGAAGAGCATTTAACTACTAAAATAAAGGAATTTTTAGAGGGTGGTAAGCATTTCATTGTCCTGGATGATGTGTGGACCACAAGACTAGAAATATTTGAAAAATGTTTTTCTCAATAACATGAGAGGGAGTAGAATCTCTTAATAACTCGGCATGAGAATGTAGCTATATATGCAGATTCTGCTTGTAAGTCACACACTCTTTAAAATTTTAAAGAAATGATGAAAGTTGGGAGTTACTAGAAGAAGGTTTTTCTCAAGGAAAGTTGTCCTTTTGAGCTAAAAGAGGGCAGAAACATATATAGCTATAAAGTGCAATGGATTACCACTTGCAATAGCAATTGTTGCTAGTGTATTGGACAAAGACACCAACAATCACTACTTCTGCAAGTGGGAGTCCACCGCATTTTATAGCAATGCATTCCCCGTCCCTTTCAAGCCCAATAAAGCAACTTTCATTGATAAAACCCTTCCTCAACAGTAACTCCAACTATCCTCATTTCTTACAAATTTTGAAGGGTGCAGTTTACGAGAAGGTATCTGCGTATAGCTGCATGCCCATGCTAAGTTGTGAAGAGGACTCTATTGCCTCCCATTTTGTTGGAGAAAACAAATTTCAAGTAATTCCTGTCTTGCTTGGTCTACACATCATCCACAACAACAAAATACTTCCAACCTTTTAAGCCTCCTTTATTAGCTATCTGTGCTATTCAAACACATCATGATATTCTTTTTCTTCTTGGTAAAGTTACTCCCAAGATGTTGATTAATTTCTGCCCTTGAAACATACATCCAAAGGTGAGTTCACAACAATCCTTTATAGTTGTTGCCCCTCTATCAAACCCCATCACATCATCTTCTTCCTTCCACCACACAACAGGAGCCCTGTTAACAAATTTAAGAAAATTAAGTCGAGTAAAAATAAAAGATTGACTTCAAAATGGCACAATTTCTTTAAGATATTACCGTTATCCTCACAATAAAAATCAAAATGAAGTTAATAATGGGAAGGTTCACTAGAAAAATCCCTTTGAACCTTATGTAATGATCATAAGCTACTTTAACACTTTATCTTATGCTTATCAACATTTTTTTGAGCATGATTACTAGGCTTTATGTCAATCTGTTAAGTACAAATAGTTCCAAAATCCATACATACTCGAATCATTTCCAGCAAACTATAAACAAAAAAGGCTAAAAGGGTAATATGATAGCACTGAAGATAACAAGAAGATATTATGGTAGGATATTTGAAGCTAGAGGAAAATGAGTAATTGGAAATAAATTACTAGAATAAATAAAATAAAATAAAATAATAAAACACCCAAATTTCACACTCATTACTAGTGAACTAACAACCAGTTTTGAAACTAATAATCTAATTAAAATTCCATTTTGAGCTTTTCAGAGTATAAATTCCAGATTGACATAAAAGATCGATTATTGACCCATTGAGGTACTTGAATCTTGTGATACCTTTCTTTAGAGGAACTTAGGGTTTAAGCCCGATTGGCCTAACGCTAGCACTGTGCTCTCTTCTAATCTTGTGCATCTTTCCCGATTGGCCTCGATCTCCTTTGCAGCATCGGCCTTTGACTAATAAGCAACTTCGCGGCGGAGAAAATGAAATATTGATGAAAAAGAACTGTAAATTTTGAGGATTGAAACCTCAGAGGCTGAGAGAGATCGTTTAATTGAGAGAAGAGATAGAGAGAGTGTCTTAAGATATTTGTGTTGACTGCGGACCCTAAAAGGCTAAACCCGCCCCGATGATTTTTATTTTTTATTTTTTATTTTTATTTTAAATATGGGTGTAGATGGATAATTCTATTTGCACCACTCATGCATGGACACAGAGGTAGATCCATAATATCTATACTGTAGATTCATAATTTTTTTTTTGAAAACGTAGATTCATAATTTTGTTTTTCGTTTGTTGTTACAGATATTATGAATCAATAGTACAGAAATTATGAATCTACAGTATAGAAATTATGAATCTACAGTATAGATATAGAAATTATGAATCTACAGTACAGAAATTGTAAATTTACAGTATAGATGTTATGAATTTACAGTATAGAAATTATGAATCTACAGCTTAGAAATTATGAATCTATCCCGTTAACAACAAATGAAAAACAAAATTATGAATCTACATTTAAAAAAAAAAAAAATTATGAATCTACAGTATAGAAATTATGGATCTACCCATGTGTTCACCATGCGGATGGTGAACACGTTTCCACAGCATAACTATTGATTTGATATTTACATCACCCCTTTAATAGGTATAATAGTTTTATTGGTGATGCAAATAGAAAAGTCCACCATCATTAAATGTGGTCAATATTAATATTTATTATTTATTTTTTTAACAATCAAAATATTAATTAAAAAAAAGGGAAAAGTGTCAAATTGGCCCCCTAAGTCAAATGGATAGTGCAATTGGGTCCCCTAAGTGAAAAAAGCTCCATTTAAGTCCCCTAAACCGGTAAAATTGTTCAATTAAGTCCAATATGACTTGTTTATCAGGTTAAATCGATATGGTGTTGACACGTGTCCTTCTTATTTTATTTTTTAAAATAAATATTTTTTATTTATTAAAAATTAAAAATATTATTTATTATAAATTAATTAATTAAAATAATAATAATAATTACAAATTTAAAAAATAAAAAAAAAAAAAAAAAAAAAAAAAAAACAGCCACCGGCTGTCTGCACTGGACAACTAGTGGCTATCCTCCTTCTTCACGATCATCTAAGGAAGGCGGCCATGGACGTTTGGCCGTCTTCCTTAGACGGCCGTACGGCCACGGCTGTGCGTGAAGAAAGAAGACAACCACCAGCTGTCCGGCGCGGACAACCGGTGGCTGTTTTTTTTTTAATTTTTTAATTTTTAAAATATTATTATTTTTAAAATTAATTAATAAAAAAATAATATTTTTAATAAATAAAAAGTATTTATTTTTAAAAATAAAATAAAAAAGACACATGTCAACACCATATCGATTTAACCTGTTAAACAAGTCATATTGAACTTAATTGAACAATTTTACAGGTTTAGGTGACTTGAATGAAGCTTTTTTCACTTTGGGGACCCAATTGCACTATCCACTTGACTTAGGGGGCCAATTTGACACTTTTCAGATGTGAAGATGAACTCGTCGCCTTCTCAACGGAGAAGGCAGCCCAGTTTAAAAAAAAAAATTTAAAAAAATTAGAATTTCTCGTCACCTTCTCGTGTGAGAAGGCAGCCTAGTGAGTCGCTTTCTCACCTACCTGGATTGCCTTCTCCGTTGAGAAGGCAACCCGAGAAGCAACCCAGGTAGAAAGCTACCTGGGTTGCCTTCTCCGGTGAGGTGGCGATCCACTAGGCTGCCTTCTCACCGAAGAAGGTGACGGGTTTATCTTCTTCTTCTTTTTTTGTAATTTATTTATTTAATATTTTAATTAATTAAATTTTAAATTTAAAAATTATTAATTATACCTCATAAATGAGGTTTGACCAAGGTGGTGTAAATAATAAAATGAATTCTCATTTGACTATTTATACAACCTATTTAATTATTAAAAGTTTTCACCTTTTTACAATTTCAGGATACTGTATACCCACTTTTGACCAAAGGGTGGTGCAAATAGGAACACCTGTGTAGATACCACTTTAAGGCTTTATCGCTTTAGAGAAATCATAATAGACGAATTTTCAATGATTTTTGTAGTTTTTTTTTTCCGGCAAAAGATTGGTTTTTTTGTGGGTCTCGAAAGAGATCGAAAGTGGAAATGAGCGGCACAATTCCTGTATAAACAGCGCCGAGTCACTGCACACACCGGCTAGCGCATTAACTGCTTTGTTTTTTTCTTTTTCTTTTTTCTTTCTGCGTCAGAGGTAATAATATTATAAAATAGTGTAATACAATTCTAATAGAACATATGGTTTCCTACTTTCATATTCGTACTATAATTCTACATCAAAATTCTTATTCGTAATATAGTAGGACAATCTATATATCTATATCTATATATCTACTAGTTTTTTTACGCACTTTGCGCGAATAGAATACGAATGGAATAATGCCCAATGATTATTTTTAAATAAGTATTTCAAAGTATATCAATGCAATATTATATCGGAGATGTTCATGCATAGGTAAATAAATATTGAATTTGTTTATTTAAATCGGTAATTTAAAGTATATAAATGCAAGATAATAGATGAGAGATTGATTATATTGTCACTAAAATAAATGTTTGCAACTTTGTAATAACGTTAGTCTAAATACTTAGTCTAAAAATGATAGTCTAAATAAATACTACTTTTGATTTAAATTTTTTAATTCTCTTTTGGGTAGCATTGTCATTGTCTTCATCTTCAGTACATGTCCTTTTTTTTTTTTTTTTATTATTATTGGTAGTGTGTTATGTGCAATTGAGTTATTGGTGGTAGCATAGATGGATTCATCGTGCAATGAGATTATGGTGTAGGAAGCTTTATATTTGCCTTGTTGTGTATATGATGGGATCTTAGTTGTACTATTAACTATTTATCTTACAAGCATCTATTGATATTTTGTACTGGTAGTTTTTCCCCTACATGTTTCATGCGTCGTGAGATGTGTGTAATAGGTTATCATGTGAAAGTATTGAACAAAATATTAATATTTATTATATTTGTATAAAATACTTGGAAAATAAATATATATATAACATATTTTGTATTATAAATTTGATAAGTTTTTAAATTTTTTTTAAGGGAAAAAACGTCATTGTATTAATAACAAGGTATCAAATGTTGAATACAAGCAAGTAGGACATCAGTAAACCAAATAAGAGGATCAGGCTGTGAAGAAACTTCTCTGCTAACACATGAGCAAGCTTATTCGCTGATCTATGAATATAATGAAACGACACATTCTCAAACTGTCGTTGTAGGATAGAACATTCTTGAGGACACAACCTGCATAGGAGTTATCGGTAGCCATAGTCTTCAACGATGAGCACACAAGTTGGCAATCCGAGAAAATCACCAGCTTCCTCTGTTGGTCCCGATAGAATGTAATGAGAATCTAGAGGGGGGGGGGGGTGAATAGACTCTTTTCGTGAAATGCCCTAAAAGACACCTTTCGGTGTTTTGGCGCAGCGGATAAGATAGATTAGTTATAAAAGCTTTGCACGAGTTTACTTGATTAGGAAGACTCTCGGTAAGGAGATAAATGAAATGATATGAAAGCAGAAAATAAATGCGTAAGAGAGATAGGAGGGACACGAGATTTTATAGTGGTTCGGCTAAACGTTGCCTACTCCACTCTTCTTCCACAACTGCTGGAAGGATTGCACTATCACTCTTTAGTACAATTACACAAAGACTTCCTTGATCACTAAGCCGGACAACCTTCGTAGGTTTTTCAACTCCTCGAGTTTACTCCGCCTCTATCAACTTCTTCTCTTGAGTTGAGGTTGGTAGAAAAATAATTTCTTGATTTCTCCAACGATGAAGTCTTGACTGCGTGAGATGATTGCTTCGAACAAATGCAAGACTTCCTTTAAGGTGTAAGAAAATGATCAATGATCTTCTTCAAGTAACTTAGCACCTTAAGAACTGGTTCACAAAAGCTTTTGGGGATTTGAGAAATTTCAAGAGCTTTCGTAAATAAGTAAGTCGAGTGATAATGAACCAGCACCTTCTTAGTTGATGAAGGTGGGTTTATATAGGTGATGAAAATTCATCCGTTTGAGGGAGATGAAATTTTTGAACCTTTTAACCATTGGACAAGGACCGGGGAGCCTCATGCATTAAATGCTCCATTAATGCGGTGGTACTTTATAGCCGTTTGAAGGTATGGGAGGCATTAGGGTTTTGTCTTTTAGCTTCAGAAGATGGTACA